GATCGGTCCTCTCAGATGAGCTTCAGTAATCATCAACCCTATCCCTTCAACCAAACTGCGGGTTGGAACTGGAAATAAATTATACCTAAAACCAACAACATCAGCCACCGAATAATTGATCACATTAATCAGTGATACCGGTGTTTGCAGTAGGGCAGCATCTTCTCTTCAGTCTGTCACCGGCAGCATTGATTGCATTAGTGCAGAGATCAGAGATCCACTTTTGGAGAGGGTTTCGCCCGGGCCGGATACGAACCCGTGTGTCGTTTCCATGACCGCAAAAGGGTTAGCAGGATTCAGGTAAAAGCTGGTTCTTTTAAATTGGCAGCTGAATGGCATCTCCACCGCATTCGGTGCCCGATGTTTCACTGTAGCCGCAATATCAGCATACGTGTGTTATAAAGCGTAAATGATAGGATTATGCTGCGCTTTGGCACCGTGGTGATGATCGTGACGATGCTTTGTGCACAGATTATAAGAGGTGTGTTTTATGCACGAGCTTACCAGTGTGCTGCTGCATGTGATTTAATTCTGCTGATGTGCAACTGACAGCAAGTGCAGCACTAATGATAATGGATGAAGTGAGCCCCTTTAAGCTTTCAAAGGTGGGTGATAAATTACGTGGGTTCAAAAAAAAACTGTTGGTTCTGACTGTGTTCATGAGAAGTATGCTTTAATAAGCTTTTAATGAATGTAATGAGAGATCCTAGCGCGACGTTTCAGTGGTAGAGGTGTTGGAAATATTGGAATCCGTGGTGGGTGTAATCATTAATTTATGCCTACATTTTATTTATGCATCACATGCTCAATTCATTTCAACAGAAAAAAAAAAACGATCTAATGGAAACCATCCAATTTCTGGGGATGGCAATTGTTTACATTGACCACTCGAAACCTTTTCTTAGTACACATGCACACATCCTCTTATACCGCTAACCAGCACCATTATCGACTGAACGGTTTGCAGAACCATGCTTGCTCACCATTCATTGAATTCAATCGTTTAATGCGAACCATAGCTAGGGAGAGCCACCTGTTATTATTCGATCAGCAACAGGTCAAATCAAGACTCAACCACTTAACAAACTTACGTCGGTGCCTACCGAGAAGCCGCGAATTTTCCACTTGGATGTTTTATCGCACCTCCACCATCATCATCGATACAGAAAATAAATTCGCCAAAACCACATTGCCAGTTATTGCCGCCGGAAGACGGTTCTTAGTAAGAAGTATTAGCGAAAATAAATAAACAAACCGATGATGGTTGGCTGTTGCCAAATCGGCGTGCGGTGCGAAACTAAATAAACCACAAAGTAACGTTGCGTGCAATCGAGTCCAGGAATGCGAGGGCAATTCAAGTTTAGATGAACCGCAAATCAATGCATGGGCATTATGGTTGAATCACTGGAAGATTTAGTATGGGGTATTGCTTCTTTTGACATGTTGTTGCTTCGCATGAACAAACGAAGCCAGCGTTTGTAATCAATCGATGTGGGAGAGTATTCAATAATAAGAAGATTTATCAAATTAATTACAGAGAAATGCAATCAAGTCGTACATTATGTGGATTCATTTGTAAAATTAACTGTAGATCAATAATATGCATTAGCTTGACAAACTTGTAAAGGAGTTATACATTCAATAGCCTTCCCCCACTAACCTTGCATAGGCAGTTTTACATATATTTTTATTAGGGGCCATCCATAAATTACGTTGCATATTTTTGACTATTTTCTGACCCCCCTTCCCCCTCTAGTGAATTTTCCTACACTCAATACCGAATACCTGATAAAATTTCTGAAATCATCTTCCACTTTAAAATGCTACGTCATTTATGCATGTTCCACCTGATTTTTTTTATATAAAGGTAATTCTTAGAGTTTTCAATTCATATTTTCAGTTGGCTTCATGTTTTACTCCTGCCTGAGATTTTGTAAAATATGTTAAATAAGTTGATTTTAAAGATAGTAGAATATCACCCCTAAGATTACTCATATTTCATTCTATTTGCATAGGGAGGTAGCTCATCGATTCTTGCGGTTCGCCTCCTAGCATCGTGATATAAGGTACCAGGCGATAACCAGGGTAGTTGATCGATAGCTCGATGACGTCATTTCGTTGGTGTCTGCAATGGGAAATTCTCATAGTAGGCGTTGACGATGGGACGTTGTCGAGTTGTTGAATAGCAACTATCCCCTTTTTATTTTTCTGCTCTTCTTTCCTCTTCTCTTCTTTTGTTTTGTTTGTTTACATATAACTAATACTAATACGTCCTTGTTTTCTCTCTAATTTGTCTACTTTGTCCCACCATCACGATGAGAGATGAGCTACCGTACATGGTACACGCTCATATACACTCCCAAAATAGTATGCCGCAAGTAAGTATATCACAGAGGCAATTAAAGATCCAGAAACAAAAACCGATAACGCTGAAGATAATGAGCTGTGGTGATTTATATGACTATATAGTATTATTTATTTATACTAACCTAAACACAACGTGGGGTGACCCAAATCCAAACGATCACTAACCAAAATAATAGACTTATCTTTTTTCAGCAGGTGTAATTTCGTTTAGTTCTGTTTCTCTCTTTTCAGCAAAACAACTACAAAAAAACCTCTATAACTCTTCTTCATTCTTTTAATCTCCTACTATCCCCTATAAATGTATCGGAACCTAGTGGGACTGTCTGTGCAAACAGAAACAGACCTGCTAGTGGAAGAAGGTCGTTATAACTCGATTAAACTCGTACTCGCACTCGCTTAACGGCAGATTGGTTTACAGTGGTCGACCAGGGTGTGTGCTGATAAATTACAAAATTACAATTACATCATTATTTCATACATCAGCTTGAATTACGTTGATCAATATTACATTTTTTTTGCTGTGCACTGCACCACCGGAGCCAGCAAAGTTCAACAATCCATCGTTGCTTATGCCTTTGTTGTCGTTTGGAACCAGTTTTGCGAGGTAGGCGACGATTGTGCGTATTTCTCGCGTAACTTTTGAAAAGGGCCTATTTATAGCCTGAACAATACTTAAAGAGCAAATTGAAACATTGAACGTCGCGTGAAAGTGGAACTTAATGAAGGCCTAAGTACTTTTTCGTAGTTTTTAGTTTTCAGATTTGAAAGATCGTCGGTTACAGTGGCCTGCTTACTGAGCAGAAAAACGCGGTCCCAGGTCCTTACATATCAAAGAGATTTATGGTCAAATCGCTTGTGTATCGTGTATTTTGCGAAACTCGTTGTTGTCGTTGATTTCGGGTTTGAATGGATACAAACATTTGAGCAACGGTATTATGTGATATGAGGGGCTCGGTGGCCTTAGAGCAACCGTTTTTGCTTACTGAGCAGAACATCATGAGTCTAATCTCAGGCCCATCAACATTCAAGATTCGTCAATCGTTTTATTTGTTAATATGACTACATGGTAATAACAGCAACTCGGTGATTAAAAAGGTGCTCGTCTGCCTAGTGGCAAACGTTTTTGCTTACTGAGCAGAAGACCGTAGGTTTAGTCCCAAGCTCCTTCGCGTTATATGATCGTTAGGACATCAATTCAGCTTATCGTTTACTAAAACGAACCCTGCTGCAAACCCAACCCTCTTATCCAACATCCCAGTGATTCCTCGTGGAAGTGCAGAAGTGTTCTCGGCTTCCATCAAAGCGAGTGTCGTGTCAATACAATCCTTCCCATTGCTTTCTTGACCTGTGTTCGGGCGCGGCCGGCGCTGGTATTGCCTAATTTAAAATCACCAGTTTTTACACATTGAGGATGATTGCTAGTCCCAATCATCGTCTATTGGTTTTCCGTGTAATTACAGCTGATCTGGCTGAATGTCAATCAAGCTCAAGCTGAAGCTCAAGTAGAATATCACCCCTAAGATTACTCATATTTCATTCTATTTGCATAAGAATTGCCTGAACATTTTTCTGTCATCCTCTGAAAATGTGATAATGTTAAACAAATTGCAAATAAATAAAACGCGATAAAAAATTTCATCCCAAAGTTCTGCCTGGAAAGGTCCGGAAGCTAAACAAAAACCTTTGCTTGGAAATACATTCTCATTAGATTTAACATATTCAACATGCGTTTCTATTGTAGACCCATTTGATTTCAGGCTGATAACTATCCCAAAATTCAAGTAAACTTTGAATGCATCTAACTCCGTAAGCAAAACAATTTTTTTTATATTATAGCCACTTTAACGCTCTTGGGTCATTCGTGACTTGTCTGGGGGTAAGATTTTAACTCGTGACTTCGGCGTGAGAGGCATGGATTCTAACCACTACGCCGGGGTCGCCCCCTCCAAGCAAAACAAATGAAATCAAAATGGCTGCCACATAATGCACTCATCTAGGTCACATAGGACCACAGTGCAGTGGTGTAAAATTTGCGAATCTAGTGTGTGTTTTGAGTTTTACCATGAAGGCCGCTTTCCGACCCCAATATTCTTCTGTTCATTCTCTGAAAGCTTCAAGCAGCATGCCAAAAAAAAAAATCGCATCTTATTTACTTTTCAATCTCGTATACATTGATGCAGTATACATGTATACTACTGTACATATTTAACAAAATATGACATGTTATACATTGACATCTACAAAATCTAATAAATGCTGCACAGTTGGACTGGACGCTTTAGTGTATCGATATTGATAAAAAAAATCAGGATAAGGGTGGTTCATAATATCGGTTCAAGCTTTGAAAACCGCTTAAAAGCTGTGATAAATCCAATAATGTAATTCGGGATAGTCCTCATTATGCAAAATTACAACTGCATACGATGTCGTGTAAGAACTTTTGTAAGAACTTGTTGAATTTATTTTGTGTCGTCATTTTGAGTTATTGCTATCGAGAAAATTTGTTTATTGTTATGATGTTTTTTCCGATTCCAGCGTAGTAGTAGTTCTTTCTCAATCAAACCGAACTGATAACTCCCTGTGTAATATCGATTTCAAACACATCTACCAAAAAGCTACACAACCAAACTCACCCCTGTACATGTTGGCCGTCTGCTCCCAGTGCCCCCGCTGGCTGCGGGTGTGGTGTTTGACTAGTCGTTCAAAGTTTTTCGTCGCTTTCACCTCCAACTGACTTTCCACATGATTATCACAGCAGGGACCGCCGCAAACATTGCCTGTAAGAAGAAAAAAAGAATACCGGAAAAAATAATAAAATTAATCAGATTGAAGATTTCATTTATAACTAATCCCTAGTGGATTTCCCACAACCACTGCCCGAGAATGAGGAGGATAGGATTGCACTGTCAGTAGAATGAAAAGGGTGGTTCTGTGTGCGGGTACGGAACAAGGTACCATGCGTCTGCACGGCACTGTTGGAACCGGCCGGTAGCAGGCCGGTAGCTAGCAAACGAGAGATAATTGCGACAAAAGCAGAACTAAGGAAGCATAAAAGCTCATTAGTGTGCTAGAAAACCGTCCTCGCAGCTGCAGTCTACTGCTTTCCACCCAGTATTTCCGAGTGTGTATTGTTTGCTGTAGCTTTAGCGTGAAGTGTAATCCCGGCTTGATGGGCGGGGTGATAATTGGAGTGGGACTATTTTTATTTTTGTGTCTTTACAAATATTTCCGTTCGGATTTGCTAAATATTTGAGTGTGAACAGGAAGAGATATGAACTCATTTAACGACCGTAGGCACCATTATCGACTAGTCAATTTGGGGATTATTTTTCATCCGCTCCAGATGAAGATAATTCCCATGTCAGATGACGTGATAATCTCGGGCCTGGCAGTGAACTTCTTTACACTTTTCCAGAGAAGGCAACTTTTGATGATGGATTTTGCTTTTGGTGTTCTTTTCGGAAAGCCTCTTGAAAATACGCCACTTGACGGGTAGAGTTTTCTTAAGACTCATTCCAGAGGCTTAGCACGCTAGCTGTGGACATAGCGCTACTTAACGGAAAGTTGTACGGTCCATTTCACTTCAGTAGCGCCTACAAGAGAGGGAGCTGTCGATGGCAGTAAGGCTCTTCATAGAGACAGTGAATGTTGATAAATGGCCTGCGGGGATCACATCAAAAGCGACGAGAGATGCCCTCTGGCCATTGTTCTGGACATTTTCCTTAACCAACAGCTACCGTGAAAAACGTAAAGGTCGTAAAACCAATGACCTCGGCTACAATCAATCTTCCAGGGTGGGCCTTGTATGAATGCGTGCGGACATAGACAAAGTCAGGCAGTGACTTACGAAGCTATATACTTTTTGGCACGCTTCGTTTCACGGGATAAACATTTCAATTACCGATACATCAAACCATTATGGTGATGGGAATTGAATCTAATCTGGGAAAATTCCATCCGGTTTAATGTGGTGTAAGAAGAGAGAGAGTGAGACGGAGCGTAAATGAGAGTGTAGCTCAGCAGGATTCTTTATGACGCGGTTGGGCCGTAAAATTTATTGACACGCATCCTTTTGCGAAGTTCCGTCCCACTGCGGATGACGAAGATAAAAATAGGAATAAATCGTGGAGGCACAAAAGTGGTGGATCCAGCGATAGTCGCACATAAACGACATCAATAAATAATATGGATACCGCTATGAATCAGTTATTTTGACTTTAGCATTAGGGGAGGTGACGTCTTTGATTTGGATGCGACTTGATCAAAGTCAATTCATAGTCATAATTTCAGGATGTATGAGCGCTGGCGCTAATTTGATTAACTTTTTGATCAACCATGTTTATCTAGTACATTTCAAAAAACCAATTGTTTTCAAATCGTATGGAATGACTTTGGAGAATAATTAAGATTTGATTCAATTGGTTCTTGCTGCCCGTACAACTTTTGAAATATATTAGGACATCCGCATTATTTGCACAAATCTCATATCTGTTATGAGGCTTGTACTCGAAAAAAATGCACCATTTTTATCCGTGGGTAAAAATTGATGAAAATCTGGGTATAACTAGTTTGGATTGTGAATTGTTTACATGTGCAAAATTTCATAACAATCAGTTCAGTGGTTATTGAAATGTCATCGAAACAAGAAGAAAATCGCCGGAGAATTTTTCGTGCCGTCATGGAAAATCCGACTGCGACCACGAGATGGATCGGAAGACAACTGGGAATCACCCATACAACTGTGTCTCGGGTGGTAAAATCGTTTAAGGAGTCCCAGACGACCGAGCGGCGAGCTGGAAGTGGAAGAAAATCGAAGACAGCTGACCCTGTGAAGGCCCGGAAGGTGTTGGATTATTTCAAGCGTAATCCGAACCTTTCGATTCGCGACGCGGCTCTGAAGGCAAAGTGTTCCGCCTGGTTCGTTCAGCAAACCATGAAACGAGCTGGGCTTCGTGTATTCAAGGTTCGGAAGGCACCGAACCGGCGTGATCAACAAAACACGGCGGCCAAATCCCGCGCAAGGAAGCTGTATCGAGAGTGGTTAACGAAACCGATGTGTGTGGTTATGGATGACGAAACATGCATCAAAGCAGACGCAAAGCAGATACCGGGGCTGGAGTTCTACGTTGCCAAATCACGGTTTGATGTTCCGGAAGACATAAGGAAGAAGAAAGAGGACAAATTCGCCAAAAAATACTTGCTCTGGTAGGCCATATGCCAATGCGGTAAACTGAGTAAACCGTACATCACAATGGGTACCATCAACAGCGAAATTTACCGCACCGAGTGCCTCCAGAAGCGTCTGTTGCCCTACCTGCGGTCCCACGGAGGCGAGACATTATTTTGGCCGGACCATCATGCCATTACGCGCGATCGACGTTGGATTGGTACAGAGACAATAACGTTGTTTTGTACCAAAAACCGCCAACCCCCCAAATTCACCTGTGAATCGTCCGGTGGAAAGATTTTGGGCCATAATAAAGGTCAATGATCGAAAATCGTCCAAGGTGTTTAAGAACGAGCAGGAGTTGAAGAAAGAATGGATGAAAGCGACCAAAAAGGTCGACTCCACTATTGCACAAAATGTAATGAGGGGTCTTAAGGGAAAGGTGCGGGCTTTCAGCGATGGAAAGGAAATTTAATAAAGTTATTATGCCAAAACATAATCCATATGTATTAGTTCATTCCCTGAAAGTTTCAAGAAAATCCAACTTAAAATAAATTTTTGGCGAACACTTTTGTCTGGTGCATTTTTTTTTTTCGAATACAGGCCTTAATATAGTAAATGTTACGAGACGACTATATGTTAGAGAAGTCCGGTAAGAGATCTATATATTATAGCAACTTAGTTAACAAGAACCATAATTGAATCGTATGCCTGTATAAGATTGAATTTCCGGAAATGCAACTATTTCTTGAATGTTATGCAGTATTTTTATATAGGGTAGATGAGCACCACTCATGGCTATACATTCCTATTATGGTGTGTTCCTGTTATGATATATGAGATTTCCATATACAATAATAGGAACAAACCATAATAGGAATGTATAGTCATGATTGGAAAATCTTCCCTAGATCAACTCTATGAAAGGATTGGTGTATGCAAGTTCGATAATATCCGTGTATTAATATGCAATCTATAACCTTCTACGGTTTCTTTCAATTGTATTATCAGCAACTCGTCATTTGATAAAAAAGTAATGGCCATAAAGATCAACGAAATCAATACCCAAGTAACAATGGTTCTGTAGATTACGATTTAGACTTGTAGACTGCTTTAAAACCTCAATAAAACTTGCAATGTTACTTGGGTATACTTATATAGTTGGTTTTTTAGGTGAAACAAAAGCACATCTCAACCAATCGCTTGGTAAAACAATAATACAAAGCCGATTGATAAAACTAACCCCAATATCAAAATTGAAATGTATTCTTATACAACTATGAAATAAGATTTTTTCTTTGAATATTTGGCAAATGTTAAAAAAATGCAAGATAAACTTCAAAACTACATCTCTGAATATAGAAAGTTATTAAAAAAATACACACTTTACTTGTCACAGATTTAAATATTTTTCAAAGCTCCACCACTAGAAGTACGTTTCGAAAAAAAAACCCAATTTAGTTAAAAGATTGACGAAAAATCGTTCAATATCAAATATATTCCACCTTCACTTTCGTTGAAACATTTTCTCTTTTAAAAACAATCTCTAAAGAATAATCTCAATTGCCTACTTGTACCTTTCACCGGAAGCTTGAATGGGAAAGCCAAGGTAAGTGCTCCACTATTCACTCAGCCATCTACCTATTCATACATTCGTCGTCGACTTTTTCAATCACTAGCTACTGTTGGGAGATTTTCATGCCTGCTCCCTCCTGCACCTGGAGATTTCCAGATAGTCGTCGTCCGTGAATGAATAGATCCTCTTGACTGGCAAAAATTCATTCCATCATCACCATCAATGGTTGGAAGCCGGGTGGTGGGGAGAATAGGCGAAGGAAGCTCTGGAAAAGCGGAAGAAACGAATGAAAAATAATTTGAGTGCTTTGGCGGCGCGCAGCTTTGCTCAGCTCGGCTGGTTTCCCTTCCGTCATTCGCTGGGATCCTGTGTGTGAAAGCACAGCCGACACCAAGAGCAGGGCAGAGAATGCACCAGATGCCATTGAAAGGCATCTGTGCTGAAGGTCGGCCGGTTGGCTGGTTGGGCAATGAATGCAATCAGCCTCCTTCCCGTCCTCTCGTTTTTGTGCGAGTGAGGTGTGGTGAAATTAATGCAGCCACTTTGCATACACTGAGACTAGAGTTGCAGAGAGGTGGACGGATAAGTGACAAAAAGGGTTGAAGATCTTGGTCTGAAAGTCATATGATGCTGTACGCTGGTCTGAAGGATACAACCCTGCATGCCTGAAAATGTTTGCTGTGGTTATAATGACGCCCCGGTTTGCAGTGTTGATAATGTCACTCATCGCTTTTATGGTAAATGTGAGAAAACGAGGACACGAGGAGCATCAGGTAGCTCTTTGGTGTCGAGACCACTAATAATAGTGCTGCTGCTGAGCTACGTGTATGACGAAGCTGAAATATATTAAATCCATCGGAGAAAGATTTATTGAATGTTGGATAATGGCAACTGTCTTGCAAGCGTTGTATAATTTTGCATATAAATCGGAAATGGCAAGAATTCGTTTGACCAATATTTTCAATTTCAATATTTTATAACGGTGCATAAGCATGAATCAAAATTAAATCCAATTTGTTTTTATTCGGAAAGTC